CAAACTTCTTTTCCTCGATCAGCGATAATTTACATATAACCTGTGTTGAGGACCAAGAAATAGTTAAGACAAGGTTACTTGTCTACTTGAAGGTTAATCGTCAATTTTATGATCCTGAGTCTACAGATGGCAATATGTATTTCAAAACTTTGAGAAACATGATATAATTAAGCAAATCTTTTTTACATCATAGAATATCTAAATACAGAATTTATTATTTTTCTATCAAAAATGAATATTATAAAACTTAGACTATTAGCATTATCTATAGTAGTATTATATTATCTACATCTGTTAGTATCTATTACTACATCTATATTACGAGTACAAAACCTTAAATCAGGCATTCTAAATCAATACTTTTTGATAATTTTATGAGGAAAATGATGCTATTTTGGGCTTGTTAATGAGAGTTATTTTCAGTTATTCATTCAGAAGAGATGAGAGAATTGCTTTCTGAAAGATATTACAGTACCCTGATTTGGCATTTTCTTAAAGAGATGTGAAACAATGAAACAGCAGCTGTAAATCTGCCACTTGGAGCCTTAGAGGACTCACATCACTCCCAGGCCTTGGTTTAACAGTTGGTTTATGATGTGGTTTCAGAATAACACTTTTAAACATGGTATATCCCTTCCTGCAAAACCGACATAAATCCATAAAGCTTTTAATGATGTCTCTAAAATACAGCCAAAGTATTCTCTGAGGCATATTTTTGGGTTGTTTATCTAAAATCTCTAGATTTCTGAATCTCCCTCCACGATCTGCCTTGGAATGGCTGTCTCCAGGGCTGCTGATAAACTCATCATGTTTCACCCAGGCGGGGACCACTCAGCTTCGTGCCCCATCAGGTACATTATCCCGCCTCAGCTTCCACCCCAAGCATCTCACACCCTTGTGTGCATAAGTATCACCTGGGAACCTGCAAAAAGTGCTTCTTCTCCAGAACCTCTGAGCTAAATTCTGGGACTAGGCCTGGGGACCAGCATTTTAATAGGCTCCCAGGAAAGTGGTCCCAGAAATGATGTGACAGTCTCAGCTCTCCATGCTCTCTGACTCCAGTTCTGGCTCCGGGATGGAGTAACTGGAGAGAGGCTGGCATGCGGAAGCTGAGGTTCTTGCCGGTGGCACACTGCACCTGTCACTCAGGTGCTGGGGTCTCTGCTGCCCAGACCCTTCCCTCCCTAGGCCAGGTTCTGTGCTCCTCAGTCTTGCATTTCAAGTGCCTCGTATGCGCGTCTTCTCCCGCACATCATCCTGCCTGCCTCACTCTGATTTGTTTGAATCTCCTAGCCTCCATCTCTAGCCTGCCTCCCACCCTCCCTCCAAGTCCCAGGTCCACCTCTTCTCACCC